GCGGGGGTTTTGCTTCTGCACAGCACTCACCACTAGGAGGGCAGAGAGCCCCACCTGAACAGGCAGGCTACAGACCTGGCCTGGAAAAGAAGGAAAGGTTATCGGACTTCATTAGGACAAGCAGAAGCTCCTGGGCACCGAGCAAACGTACCATTCACCATGGAGTGATGCAAAGACAAATGTGTTTTGGTAAAAGGAAAACATCCAAGAATTAAAAATTTTAGAAACTGTGGCATACGGTCAGTAACTAACACTTTGAAACCTAAATTCACCCTGAAAAAAATTAGTCTCTTCAAAGTGTTCTCTTTAGTACTGAAAAAACTTGGGGAGGAACTTCCTCACTGGAGGAAGACTTGGAAAAACCCCAACCCTTAACTAGAAGCAGTAACCTCGGCCAGCTTTCTGGCTTCCCCTTGCTATTATTAAGTATCCTTCTGTTTGACGGAGGATTTCTCCACCTCTCATCAACCATCTTTTTTCTTTCTGTGTCCAGAAAAATCTGAAAACCCTGTGTTTGTACTGAGCCCGTTGCTATGCAAATCATTAAAACACATTACAAAAATCTTTCCTTTGAGTCAGGAGGAGAACATAATGGAGAAAGAGGAATCGCTAGCAGGAGTCCCTTTGCTGAACAGAGAAGCTGGCAAAAAGGAACAGAAGAAGCAAAGCAACGTGGAAAAAATTATGGTGGTCCCATCCCTTGCATCATTTTAACCAGAGTGGGAAAACTGACATTTTCAAAGCCCCAAGGTAATGCGTCTTGCAGTTTGGAGTGGGGTTAACAAACCCTGGTCTTAATCTCTTTAATTCCTATGGTTTCATGACTCAACTCCCATTTCTCTACTAGTGTGTTCTTTGTATCAGCTTTTTCGCACTTCTGTAAGAATATCAAGAGATTTTTTTTTTCCTTCTATGGGTACTCCTTTGTGTATTCTCCTTTTGATATCTTTTGTCTTCTTGTTCAATTATCACCTAAAGGTAGGGCCTCAATTGTCCATTTGTTCTCCAACTCAATCACAGTACATAGGCAGATTTCCTTCTCTTATGAAGAGATTTGTTCTTCAAAAATCCTATCCAGGAGATGAGATGAAACACAGTATGTCAAAATGAATGTCAAAAAAAGCAGAGCTTCTCAGTTTTCTAATTTAAAAAATCTGGGCCTGATAACTGTCATAAAGTCAATCACTTTCTGAGATAGTTTACAATCAACATCATTCTCAAATTTTTGTTGTGCTGTTCCTAGTATTCTATTAACCTGCACGTTTTCAAGGGTGGGATTGCTGGGGACAAGAGGTGAGATACACAACTTGTAAATATATCCTCCTTCCACCACTGCTATGTGTCTTGATATATATGGGTTCACATACACCCACCCCCCAAAACAACTAGAGTACTGATTTGAAACTCTTTGTCCTTATTCAGTCAGAAAGAAGAAATGGCTGGGCCCTACTAATGCTATAGAACCTGTTTTATTCTCAAATAGAAGTAGCCAAACCATTGCAAACATGTGTTGGGTGAAAACAAGTTTGGTTGGCTCCAGACAAAGGCTTATTTTTTAAGCACAGATGGTTGAATGGCTGCCTCCTCCAACGGGTTGCCCACAATCAAAGACAGATTCCTATTTCTAATCTATGCAAATATCTTACTCTGCGGGGCATCACAAAGACTAACTGTTTTGTGTCAGAGTGGCAGATCTCAGGTGCTCTCAGAGATGCCAAAGCACAGCTCCACCTGAAATGCCTGGTAACTGGGATAACAGTGAATGGCTGAAGCGTTAGTCACTAACCAGCTCCTAATGAATGCTGTCGGGGCCTTCTGTGAAACATTCCTCTGGAATCCTGCCCTACCACCACTGCTTCTTCCTTGGCTGCCCTGCCTGGAAGACGGTTTCAGTATTCATTTTGGACCCCGATGCTTCTAAAACCTCCCAAGAAGGCTCAGATTCCCAAAGGCTCCTAATGACCATTAGTAGCATTCTTCACCTTGAGTTCAGCTCATTTATTGGTCTCTAACACCAAACCCAGGAACCGTGAGCATTTTAAAATGGCATTCTGGCCAAACCAGGTCTCCTCTGCACTCTTATCTAGTCCACACGCCCACAACCCAGGGTACATCTCATGAATCACACCTGGGTCACTTCCCAAGTATACGCCATTCTCTCTCTCTCCTTTCTCCATCAATTTTCCTTTCTGTACTTAACAACACTTTTCTTTCTTATTTCCTCGTCTCCCCAGCTAGTCTTTCATTTGCTCTGACATCCTTTGGCACATTCCAGTTTTGGGGCTCCTTGGAGCAACAAAAATTTCTGCAACGCTGGGGAAAAAAAAAACCAAACAAACAAAAACCCACAACTCCTCATGCTAACCTAGCTCCTAACTTAAACGTCTTCTGCCATAAAGAGAGGGTTGTGCCTGGGCGCCTGGGTGGCTCAGTTGGTTGGGCAGCTGCCTTCGGCTCGGGTCATGATCCTGGAGTCCCGGGATCAAGTCCCGCATCGGGCTCCCCGCTCGGCGGAGAGTCTGCTTCTCCCTCTGACCCTCCCCCACCATGCTCTCTCTCTCTCCCCCATTCTCTCTCTCAGATAAATAGAATCTTAAAAAAAAAAAAAAAAAAAAAGAGCGAGGGTTGTGCCTTACATCTATACAGTTTAGTTCCATGTTTAAGTCTAAAAACGTCCTTCAAGTTTTATTTTCTTTGTTAGTTTTTCTGATCAGAGGACAGTAACAGAGTTCACTTCAAAATCCTTGGTTGGAAAAGATTTCATTCACTCCTTACCAAAACATATGAAATGAACCATGCTAATTGAGCAAAAAAGAAATTCTAAAGAAAAAGGAAAGAATTCCTTCCTGATCTCCAGTCTCAATCCCTACCATAATTCTTACATCAATTTTTGAGATTTAAACACTTTCTGTGTCAGCTTGTGAATGCAAATATTGACAGTCAAATAATCTGGCATGAAAGTCTACTTGCCTGGAAAATCTAAAATTGTAAAGAGCTTTAGAGGTTAACTAATTTGTTAGTTACTGAGTCTGGATGAATATCAGAACCACCTGAAGAATACTGTTTATTTTAAACAATATAGTCTCCTAATCCCCAGCCCTAGACATTCCAATTCAGACTTCTGTTACAGCCCTAGAATCACATTTATAGTAAATGCTCCCTAGCAGGCCTCGGTCAGTCTGAGAACTACTGATCTAGTCCAACACCCAACCCAATATGGTGGTCTCCATCTATCCACTCAGTACCACAGCACTATGAACCAGGGCACTCACCCTTTCAGAAGTCTGCTTGTTCCACATTTTTACGGTTTTAATAACTAGAAACAGTGTTCCTGGGTTGAGTCATATAACCAAAGTTTTTCAATTCCTTGCACTTCACTTATTATGGGCCCAAATTTTGTGCTCCAGAGTTAACACAAAATTCCCTCCCCACAAGAGTCTTCAAATTTCCAGGGACAGCTACTGCACTCTTGCAAGTCTTCATTTTTCTAAGCTTAATCAACCTGTTTTAGCTTCACAAAGCACAACTGCTGAGTCCCTCACCAGTTACTTCCACTGCTCTTCCTCAACAATAGACCTTACAGAGTATGTCCAGAGTAGCAACACTTTGTTTTTTCTTACAGACTGAACTTTGCCTAATAGGCATTAATTTACAGTCCATGTTTCATCCTTGTTACCCACTGCCTTGCATTTCACAGTCTGAGGGCTGCGAATCAGCAAGGACTTAACCTAATGCTGTGTTCCTGACCCTGTGTAAAGTACTCAAGGAGGATTCAGAAGCCAGGGAAAACTGTCCCATTCTGAAGAGTTAATAACTTCTTGCACAGAAAGGAACCTGCATAAGTGAACAAACTTGAAAATGGTGCACAACATCCAGCCAAGGGCTTCAAATGAATGACACCTGGAAGACTGAACACGGGTTTTCTGGGATCAGGCTGTGAGCTATTTCATGGCCTCTGCTGACAGAAATACCACCTAGTTAACAATAGTTTTTGATTAAAAAAAAAAAAAAAAGATGGAAACTATCACCGTAAAATGTATACAAAAATTTGAAGTGCATCCTTGTTTTAAAAGTTTAAACTCTAAGAAACTACACATGCAATAGTCAAGGACAACACTGCTCCTTCCTTCTTGATATGTCACTAGCATCGCTTGCCAGGTACTCTGAATGCCATCATCCACGTACAAAGTGAAAAACTGAGGGTTAATTTAATCCCCTTTATCACCAGAAAGAACGATTTGATGAGGAGATATGCCCCCTCTGCATAATTTAAGGGAAAACTCTTACCAATAAGGGAACTGTACTAACACCAACCAACACCAACTGTTTCATTCATGGAACTGCAGACTTAGCAGAACTTGAGAAACATACGCAAATCCCTCACTTTACAGATGAGCGAAAAGTACCATCTCAAAGATGGCAGGTGGTTTCTTCCAGGCAAAACAGCCAATGAGCAGGAGGGCAGGACCAATCCCAGGTCTCCTCTCTACCAATGGCTTCCTGTCCCTTCTTACACGACAGAGGACAAGTAAAACTCTCGCCCTCCAGACATTCTCTTCAACTCTGTTCCCATCTTTAGTTACCTTCTCAATCCTCAAATCCAAAGTCTGATGCTACATTTTGCTTGGGAGCATTTTAAGGGAAAGAGCAGACCAGACAAGTATGATGTGGTTAACTCTTTATTAAATTCTGGCACATCTATTTTACCCACAGTCTCCAACTGATACTTCTATGCTGCTGGACACTATATTCAACTGCCTCAGGATCACTGCTACCTTATTAGCATCATAGGGAACGACCAGGATTATGAGCACCATGGATTCAAACCACAATTCTAAAGCTGAAAAGCAACCGGTAAACAATCCCCAACTGCTCCAGCCTCTCCCCAAATACACACACCTACACGTACACACCCCTCAATCAACCTGCTCATTGACTTCACCTGAAGCCCCACAGTTAACACACCCTTATACGGAACACAGGGGAAAAAAAGCACCTACCTTGTGGCCTCTTGCTGAAGCCATGACACATTTGGCACATAGAACATGACTCCGAAGAAAAGCAGAGGCTCATTAGCAAATTTGTCCAGATGTTTCTTCAGAGGTTTCTCCAGCTCCACCCATCGTGCTTGCTGGCTCTTGCTGAGAAACCAAAGGCCAAAGTAGTGCGTCTAGATAAAAGGGTAAAATAGCATCAGTTTATGCTTATAAGGGGTACCCCACAACTGCACAGGAAACAAGACTCCAGCACCTTATGTCACGTTTGGTTCCTCAGCTCATACACGAGGATCCAGCTTTTACTTTCTAACTTTGGGACAAGCTCAAAGAAAGCACATGCAACACAATCTACACTGAATACCTGATGCAGGATTCATACCCATGGTTACTGTTTGACCACATGGGTACTGATGCACCTATGTTTGGTAAAGGGGGGTGAGTGCAGGGTGGGGGCCCTGTTGGCTTTTTTCCTACGCTCCCAAGGCTGATCTTCCCGTGCCTTGTGAATGCCTCAGGATCTCACGCGGAACATGCTGGCAAAGGCAAACACAGTTCTTGCACCTGCTGCAAAGTAACTTATTAGTCAACTCCTAAGACAAAACCTTCTGCAAACTGAAGGCTTCCACATTGTAGACTATTTCCACACGCAGTAGCAGGACTTCACAGAAAATTGATTCACTCATTTTGAGTTTTAATGAAGTACTTTGAAAAACATCGGCCTCCACCACGTCATTATACATGAACTACAGCAAATCTCTCCCGCACATCGAGCTCTGAGAATGGAAGGATGTCTTCACAGCTGCCACAGAAGCCCCTGGTGACTGTTCTTGGCAGATTATGGTGGGATTTGATAGATAAAAGTGAGATTTTCACCCTTAGACTTGGAGCCTCAACCAGTTTAGTTTTGAACAACGTGCTAAATGATTAAAACAGGTACTTTTATGCCTCCAATCCTGTCTTTACATTAATTCGTGCTAGGATTTCAGGATTAGCACAACAATCACCAAAAAATAGATCACTGCTTTTGAAATATTCTTTTATATTTCAATTAGAGCTTAGAACGGTTTACAGCACACCTGGAAATCTGCCTTCAAAAGAATGTTTTCATTGCAATGTCTAATTTCCAAAGGCATTCTTGTGCCGATGTTCCCACTGCAGCTGGCTGTCTCCTCAACAAGACCACGGATCAATCCCTGCCACAGCCCTACCAAAATCTGTAATGAAAGTTTTGACTCTTACTTCACTAGAAAACCAGACATGTCCTTGCTTATAAAGTTACCGACGCACATACCCTATAGGATATTTTCAAATGCACGTGCATTCAGATGAGAACAAGGATTTCACCAACTCTGCTCCATGATGTTCTAAGGGGCAAGTTCATAGGAGGAATCTATGCATTTCTCGAGCAACAGAATGCCAACAAAGCCAAGGTTCTATTTCCATCAGCTTGGACCAATTGCCTGAGTGAATTGTGACCCTATCATTCACTTTCCAGCTTCAGGGAGTCTGTTAGCTCTTCCACCGTGATGGGTGGTGTAGAGGAAATGAAATGTGGCTGAACAGAAAGAAAACAGGCTATGAAGTCCATTCATCTCCCAGCGTTTGCACTCACTGTCTTAATAACTCCATACAAGTTGCTGAGCCTCCAGAGTGTCAAAGCTTTCTCATCTGCTAGATGGGGAGGACGCTTACAGCCATCGCCCACAGGCTGTGAGAAGCATAAATGAGATCTTGTCTTAAACCGTGCGCATGGCACAGGTTAATAACTCCTTCAATAATGGATCTTTCTGTTGCTGCTACTGCCCTCATCAACACCATCACCATTGTAGCCATCGCCATTGGGGAATGAAAGGAGGTTTTCTGCTGGCACTCCCGGCATGTCCATGAACCACAGAATTAGAAAACAGAGGTTATCTGGAAATAAACGAGGAAAAAGCAGGCAAAAGGAGAAGCGGAAGGCCTATAAATAACATAAAAACCTAAAAGGGGCAAGAAAAAAAAATAATCACAAAATAAGTGCCTCCCCTAAGTTTTCTTTAGAGGCTTACAGGTGTTTATGGGACCCGGGAACGTACCCCTGATGCTGTCCTAGGGGATCTATGATGTAGACTTAAGCTAATGTGAAAATGAGGTAATCGGGGTACTTAATTTATTAAACTGTCTGAAAAGGGTCCAAGGTAGTTCTGCATTCTACTGAATTCCTGTATGGTGCACAGTGCTGTTTAAGGGTATGCCACTGCCTTTTGGGTGGCTAGGAGTGAGTTTGCATAGAATAAATGAGGTAATATATATAAACAGTAACATGCTATGTAATAGTTATTTTCATTGGAAAAGAGCCCTTTTATAAGCCTGAGTGGAGAAAGGGAGGACAAGTTTTGCAGTTGCTTAACAGGCCAAACCATGATTTATTAACTTTCACTAAAATAGTCCTGACATTTGGGGGTATAATTTTATGATCCATACTTCATTCAAATGGCAACATCCACTCAAATGAGTAACATTCAAAATAGAACGGGTCCACATCAACTGCATAAACATTCTACAATCAATTTTGCCAAAAAAAAAAAAAGTTTTAAAAATTTTTACTGCTCCTGTGCTTTGAAGGCTAGCATTTTATTTTATTTCTTTAAAACATTTTATTTATTTATTTATTTGAGAGAGAGAGAGAGAGAACACAAGCAGAGGGAGAGGGAGAAGCAGGCTCTCCGCTGAGCTGGGAGCCCAATGCGGGGCTCGATCCCGGGACCCTGGGATCATGACCTGAGCCGAAGGCAGACGCTTAACCAACTAAGCCACTCAGGCGCCCCCAAAGGCTAGCATTTTAAATTTCCTTTTCTCATTCTCACCCACCGAATCATTAAATCAGATCTGATCTTTCCCCAAAAAGCACCCTGATAAAGAATATTCCATGGCACACGCACACACATTCATGCACACGGATACACACGTGCATATAATGAAAAGGTGGATGAGGTACAAGAAAAGTCAAAGTAATAGTCCTGAGCCAAAATTAACAGTACAGAGCTGTGAATAACGACATAAACCACTTCTACGGCAAAAACCTAATTCATGGCATAAGATTTTTTTGTTGCTACAATATGGTATTTTCCAGAGGACAGAGAATATTTGAGTGACCTACTATGCCTTTATCCAATGAAATACATTACTACTCAAGAAATGGGGTGTCCAGTACAAGGGAGAATTGAGAGAGTTCCTCCCTAAATGGCCAGAATAACCTAATTTTAGAGATGCTGAATTCCGTTATCTCGTGGAAAAGAAAATCCATTTACGAGATCCCCATTCCCACACCGTTTTATGAAGCTATGCCCAAAGTAACTTTCTCCAACTACCCCCCTACCATCCCTGCCATTCTTCCTCTAGCTAAATCCCTACCCTGGAGTATTCAACAGAGGAGAAAGACCCTGTCTCAAAGTTCTCGGCCTGCTCTATTCAAGTTTCTGATGCAGCACAGGTTTATTCCACTGTGTCTATATGTGCATCCATCAACTTCCTGTGTATTAGTCAAGGGACCATTAATCCCATCAGGCCCAGCTGGGACCACACCAGGCTGGTTCATAACTGACTTGCCAACTTAAACTCCCGCTGAATCCTGAAAGCTGAGCTTCCCTGCTAACCACTGCCACATGGTTCAGGAGAGTGTGGTAGGGTGATTCCAAATAGAAACCACTCCCTTCCTGACCAAAAGGATCCATCATATCGCCCAAGTAAAGACCCCAGGCACTTTTACTTCTCTCTGAAGCTGCAAACCTAAGCCAGGTCTAGCTAATCCTCCATGATACCTCTGGGTGAGCTAGAAATCCCATTTAATTTCTCTGGTTTTCTTTGGAAAACAGGTCTGGTGCTTTGAGTTCTGCAATGAGCTCACCGCAATGAAGAAAAAAGACAGAAGAATCAGTTCCCAGGGAAAGGAACCACATCTCTGAATCAATGACTAAGAAGGTATGCACTACTAAGAAACAGTATAAAGAGAGAGACACTCATGTGACATTTTCATATGAGTGGTTCCCTGGCCTATTTGGTTTGGAGTCTTTCATTTTAACGGAGGAAGCAGAAATGCATGCATCCAGTCAAAAATATGCTAGTTTCTTCAGTGGTAGATTGGTGTGTGAATATTTTAGCACCAAAGTAAGATCCCTCTTCAGTACAAAGAAAGATTCTAGTGAAGGCCTTTAAAAATAGTTGGAGTTGTTGTCGTTTGTTCATTTACCTGGGGAGATGGTGGTATCCCCCACATGAGCTATTATTAACAGGGAAAGATTCTTTGAGGACTTTGTTTTTCCAGTTTTGCGACCAATGGCGCAGCTCTGATGCTATTTGCAAGGGTTACAGATGCAGCCTTGGCAATTACCAAGGATTAAATCCATGATCTTATCTCAAGCATTTTGAAGAGTTAATCATCCAGAAGCCTGAGTTTAAAATATCTTGCATTACGTTGTAAGAGATTGCCTGTCATAGCTAGCATTTTGGTTGTAAATTAAGAAACAGAGAGTTGGTATGCCTCCACATAAAATAGACGGGAATTACACTTAAGCATTAAAACTTTCACTGAGGCATGGAAAACGCTTCAAAAAGCAGACTCTGAAACAGCACTTGATGCCATTTCATTCCAACGGCTTTGGAAAATAAACCGCTCGACATGAGTTGGACGACCCTGGCGAACAACTTGTATGCAATCCACCTCTACTCTGGGCAGGTCTGGGATTTCTGTAACTGACCCATCTGTAATTAACAACTGCCCCAGCTTCATTTGCCTAGCCCATCTTTCATAAAAGTATCGGAAAAGTGACTGTAGAGTAACACAGGCCCAAGAAGCAAACCTCATAGCCAAGGGAGGGGGGGGGGGGGGGGGGAGAAAAATCACTCTTCTGAGACTGTACGGCTCACTCAAATATCCAGAAAGACGAAGACTTACAAGTTAAGACAGGGGAAATTATTTCACCTACAATCTATCTAGAAAACAGACGCTAGTGCCAGTTTCCCTCACAGAACTGACAGCACGAGAACAAGGTCTCATGTTATAATCTTTATAAAGGCAAAAAGCAATACAAAATTCAAAGACCAGAGATCTCCCAGCAGTCTACTCTTCTGCTGACTCTTGATCAGTGTGATTTTAGCCCTGGGCAAATACAAACATATATGGATATGGTGAGGC